CGAGCAGCAGGTCCAGGCCGCTCTGCTCCAGGAACTGCACCATCCAGCCGCCGTCGCTGCCCTCCAGCCGCTTGCGCAGGCCCGAGTAGTTGACCACCGAGGGCATCTGCAGCAGCCGGATGCAGAGCTCGGGGTCCGCGTTCTCCAGGTTGGCCTCCGTGGGGTCCGCGTCCTGCGGCCCCAGCTTCTCCTTCAGCGCCGCCCACTTGCGCTGCGCGCCCTCCTTCACCGACATCTTGCCGAACTGCGGGGCCAGAGGGTAGCGGGGGTCAGCCAGGGCCCAGCCAGGGCTCGGTCCTCCGCCTGGTACCCCCACCCACCAAATGTGTTCCCAGCGCTGCCCGTGGCACCCTGCAGCACCTGGTGCAGGCTCCCCGAGCACCCACCCCTGACCAGAGGCGGCAGCACTGCCCCGCTGTGTGCACCTCGACCTCACAGCCGCCCAGGCAGCAACGCCCCGACCAGTGGTGACAATGCAACAAGCATGTTGTGTCTGGGACGCTCTTATCTCCCCCCAGGGCACAGCCCCTGCCCACTGGATGGGCCAGATGGGCACGATGATTCTGGGCCCTGGCACTCCAGGCTGCCCGAAGCGCATGAGTGGGCTGGGGGGGCCGACTCGAGGGTCATGCCCAACGCCCATCCGGTTCTGGGCAAGACCAGGGCCCCGCGGGGGAGCAGCCCTGCCAGGCCTGGTTCTGTGGGTCTGTGTGTCACCTGCGTGCGGGTGGAGGGCCGGGTGCCTCTAGCCCAGTGATGGCGAACCTTTTGAGCTCGGCGTGTCAGCATTTTGAAAAACCCTAACTTAACTCTGGTGCCGTGTCACATATAGAAATTTTTTGATCTTTGCAACCATAGTAAAACAAAGACTTATATTTTTGATATTTATTTTATATATTTAAATGCCATTTAACAAAGAAAAATCAACCAAAAAAATGAGTTCGCGTGTCACCTCTGACACGCGGGTTATAGGTTCGCCATCACTGCCTAGGCCCTCGGCTCTCGGAGGTCCACCCGGATCTGCTGCAACAGGTGTGACCCTGCCCAGAACGTCCCCCAGCACGTGCCTCTGTGTCATCACCACCACCCGCCCCCTCCCCGGCAGTGACGCTGTCCTCAACCACAGCCCCTGGGAACTGGCCCCAAAGGGCAGGGGCAGCCCAAGCTCTGCTGCAGCCATGTATGGCTCGGGTCTTATATTTAGCGGCTGAGAAGGGCCGTGTGGAGTCGCTGGGAGAGAGCCCGAGGGACGGCATGGCGACGCCACTGGGCCTCACGCCCAGCCCTCAGCCTCCCACCACCCGGAGGCAGGAGTGTACACCCCACTCCACAGGAGGGGGTTGGAGGGGGCACCCAGAGAAGCCAGGCCATGTGCCCACCGCCCCAGAGTTGGAAATGGCAGAGCCAAGTGAGCCTGGACCCCAGGGGGCCCTGGAGCGGCCAGGCCTCCCCGCTCTACAGCTGCTGCACCGGGGAGCTCAGAGGGGAGAGCAGGGGCCGTCCGAGGCCAGGCAGGGCACTGGGGCTGAGCCGGGACAAGAGCCCAGGTGCCTGCCCCTCCAGGAGGCCCCGCAGCCCCCTTCCTGGGTGAGGGTGGTGGGTGTCCTTCCTTGGGCTCCTGGAGCCCACCCCGGGGTCTGCTGGGAACACAGAGCACAGCCTGGGGGCCCGGCATCTCGGCTCCCTCCTGTTTGCTGTGTGTCCTCCCGGGAGGCACCCCGCCTCCTCCCACCCCCGTCAACTGCTCTTCAGGACCCCGGGGTCCCCCCAGGCGGCCTGGCTGACCTGGGTGGGCGCCCAGCCCTGGCCCTTGCCAACAGACTTTGGCCCCGTCACGGCCCCGTCTAAGCCTCAGTTTCCGCCCCTGCACCTCTGGCACCAGCCGGCTGGAAGCATCCGACAGGCAGTAAAGGGGGTGTTGGGGTGCTCATAACACTGCCTCCCAGGCCCAGCCCTCTTGGCCCCGCACCGTCCACTCACCCAGATGCGCAAGACCTTCCGGCTGCCTCTGCCCACCCATCCC